ATCATTACAAGGCTCAGATGAAGTCATTACAAGATAGAAAGGAGAGGTAAATGCTTTGTTAGTGGGAAAAAAAAGCAATTTAGTTTTATATGGAGGGATTGGATGTATTGTGGTAATTTTATAGTTTGTTTTGCTACTTTTATGGCAACTGCATATTGGCATGTTATTCTGTCCTTAGCTAAATATTATCATTGACTGAAATTTAGTTTCTTTTTGGCTTTCCATTTGCTTCATATCATTTATTTGGCTATGAGTTTGTTTAATTCATTCATTTAATTATCTTCATAATGTCTCAAAACCTTGAATACAAGGTATTTACATCCATATTTATTCCCCGGGTTACCCTAATATCAATTCAAACTTTTTGTTGCTGAAAATCATTTATTTTGCACTTTAAGTATCGTTTTTCAGAAACTTTTTCTTTTTCTCAGCTAACATTAAAGGTGATGTGAAAATTCAAGTATGTAAATGCTTGGCTGACAAATCTCATTTGATGGATAAAATCCTTATGTTGAATTAGTCTTTGGCCCATCTCAAGATTGTTGTGATCATATATTTGTGACATTATTTTTTGTCCTGATCAGAAAAGTTCTTCGTTTCTTTGGATGCAGGATTTTATTTGTGTTATTGATATATTTGGGAGATGTTTTCTCTGGCTATAAAATATTTTTATTTCTGTTGTATAAATCCAATATAAATAGAATTTATATTAAGAATTACAAATAGGCTAAGAAAATAATTTAGAAAATATCTAGCCTATGAGCCTTCATCTTTATCTCAAGCTTTAGCTGTGCTATTTTTTACATGACGTAAATTGAGATACTCTTATTTGACTTAGTCCTAGAAAATGTAATATCTATATCTATATCTATATATCTATATATATATATATATGTCTGTGTGTGTGTATGCATGTATGCATGTATATATTTATATAGATATATATTGTTTGTGTGTGTGTTTGCGACTTAAGGCTTTAGAAATGTGGCATGATTTTCTTGCTTCTATGTTAAATGACGTGTAAAATAAATTTAATATTTCATGAGATATTCTTTGTTTAAGAAATTTGACTTTATAATTAAATTCGTTAGATGTTATGAGATAGTTTTGCACATTTCCATTCACAAATGCTTTATTGTCTCGTTATTAAGTATAGTAGGCTGACTAAATATCATAATACTAGAAAGATGTGTAAAATGACGTGTAAAATAAGTTTAATATGTCATGCAATATTTACCAGGAAAGAACATTGTAGACACAAGAAGTTGGGGTGAGGCTAATGTTGATGATATGTTTTGGTTCTATTTTTTCATGGATGCAGGCGCTGGAGCTTGGAGAGAAAGCTTGCTGATGCTGATGTCTCTGAGGAAGAACAGAACAATATCTTGAAGAGCTTGGAGAAAAAAGAAACTGAGTACATGCGGCTACAGAGGCACAAAATGGGGGTTGATGATTTCGAACTTTTGACCATAATTGGAAGGGGTGCATTTGGAGAGGTTGTGTATTGTTACTTACCCATGCTATTTCAGCATTATGGTCTAACTTAAGTTATGGCTTTCTGCGTTAAAGTTCTTGCATATTTATAAATGTTGTAAAGTTCAACTGATATAATTGGATTTTTGGAATGATGCCATATGCTTATCAGCTGGTTGAGTAAAATAAATTGAATTGCTAAAGGAATGTCGAACATGTATTGGCTTTCTTGGTTAAAGAATTTACTATGTATTAATGTTCTAGAGTGCAAATAATACAAGTAGAGTATGGGAATGAATGCCATATGCTTTGTAGCTGGTTGAGTAAAATGCATTAAGTTGACCAAGCATTATCAAAAGATGCAGGGTACGAAACAAGATGAGAAATTCGAAGAGTTGGGGAGAGGAAATATGAGGATTTGCTAGCATGATTCCAGGAATTCTGGTACACCCAAAACTTAGTCAAAGTTGTCACAGCCTGTGTTATGTAAATTATACAGAAGATTTGTGTTGCTTGTCATAGTGAAGAATTATGAACTGTCTACTTAGAGCACCAACATAGATGGTAGCAATTTGAACTCTCCTCGTTGATGTGTAGTTGGATACATCTTTTTTTTGTTTTTAATGAAAGAAATATCTTTTAACAAGTCAAGTTTTCCTTGAATTCTAAGATCATCGATAAAAAATTCTGCTTTTGTTTGTCCCATTTAGTTAATATTTGAAATTTTATGTTTCATATTTTAATGGGTAACTCATTTGAAGTCATTCCACCTTTTATTTTTGCTATTTTTCTTATGACATGTTTAAGTAAATGTCAAGTTTTGGCCCGGAATCAACTTTGACACTCACAATAGAGGTGTAGTATGTTATTAAATTGGCTTGGGATTAATGAAGCAGACTGCTATGGAATTAGTAGGATTTTAATGTAACTTAAGTTTACTTGGAGCATGCAAAGATCTGGGGTTTCCTATGAATTCAATTGATAAAACATTCTAAGATAAAATTAAGACTGGCTTCTTTGTAAGGAATTAGAGAACTACTGGTTATTTCAGGGCTTCTTGTTTCTATGTTGCCCTTATCTATTTTCCATAATTTCAGCGTATGACACTGAATAGGCTTATTTTTTGACATCATAGCAGAGATTATAGAACAATTACATTACCTCTGATTCTCAACGAACTACTTCAGTCAGTGGCTTCAATAGCAAAATTGTTGAAATATTACTCTAGTTGATCCTTGTGAACAAGGAAAAAAGAGATATTAAGGATGCCAACAACTCTAATTGATGGCTAAACACAGACTTAAGAGGGGTTTTGAGTATGTTAAGAATTTTAGGCTAATGTATATGATGTGCATAATTGATATGATCTCAAATTAGAAATGGAATTAAATTAAAGATAGATGTGCTAGAAAATAAAATAAAGATGAAAATCGATAAAAATGATGCATTAAATCATATTAAAGGCTAGATTAATAGAATTCCCCAAACATAGATGATAATAAGATAGATTTTCTTAGTGTTTCAGCTTGAGTGGTCTAAAGACTTTCTAGCATAGTCTTTGTTTAAAGACCAAATCCTTCAAAAAGATGCATTAAACCATATCCTAACTCTTTTGATGGATCTAAATCCAGGAAAATCGATAGTTCTCTATCAATGGCAAGATGAGATGGTAAGAGTTAGTATGGATGAAGATTCACCATGTTGCACATGGATAGGTTGCTAGGACCACTCAAGGTCAAGCTCTAAAAACATTTAAATATTAGTTTTAAATTAAAAGAATTTTAAAATTATTTAAATAATTTTTGTACAATGCTAAAATGACTTTGAAATCATGCACAAACTACAAACATATTTTGCAAAAATATGGGTAATTAATGTTACCAAAAATACTTAAAGTTTAACATTTGATTTTGCGGCTCATCGATTACCTTTTTGGGTAGCAACATTTTTGTTTTTTTTTTGGGCTTTCTCGTTATAAGTTTTTTAAATAGTTTATCAACTATTTAATTTGTTTTTGAGCAAGAAATTTTTGTTTATGTTTCTTCAAAAAAAAAATTTCATGTTATTTCTTCTATTATTCTTCCATCGCCAGCTTCTTTTGAAATCAATCTTGCCATGATCCAAATGGTGGATCCTAATCTACTAGACTACCATCTAATTCATCTTATCTATCCATTGATGTAATTATAAATGCACCAATATTTTTTTGTCCATCTATAAACGTAGGTTTTGATAAATACATCTTTTCAAATGACCCAACCTGTACACAATCTTGTGATGTGCTCTCAAGTTCCAACCTTTGCACAATCTTGCAATTTGCTTTGTTCAGATTTGGTTTCATTCATGTTTTCTTGATAACTTATTTGATGATGTCAATAACAACAGGGCCGAATACCATTATTATTTAGAAATCAACTGTAGAGAACTTTAGTCAGTGGCAATGTTTGCTACGATCTGATGACTGCTGATATAAGTTTTCATGATTTCATTGAGTCATTCAAGTAAGCAAGGTTACATGGCTGCTGTCTGAACTTGATAGTGCACAAAATGAGATTAAGTAATCCTATAGTGATGGGTCTAGGCTACCCAAACTCCTTGTCTCTGAACAAAATAATCTTCAACAAGTGATTCTATGAAGATTTTTGAGAGTTTATGATTAGTGTTGACCAATTTCATTTCCACATCACCATGGGTAATGCTATCCTATATGAAGTGATGTCAAATATCTATGTGCATGGTCCAATAGTGTTGGATGTTGTTTCCTACTAGGTCAATGAATTTTCTTTAAATTGAGGAGGCCTATAAATCGGATTTGTTTGGGATTGAAGCTGGTGAGTATGGCAGGAAAGAGGAGAATAGGAAGAAAGACTAATGTCAATCTAATGAGAATTTGTTCCTCTTGGTTTCCATTAGCTTTAAAGCCTTGTTACAATTTATATTTATGGACATCTAGATCTATAATAAATAAAGTTGAAAATGATAAAAAATTTAAATATATCCTAGGTTAAGTGTTGCCGAGATGAGAATTCTTAGGTAGATGTATGGCTAAATGTGAAATGAGAGACAAAATGTGAAATGAATATATTCGTGATAGGGTTGGTGTAGCTCCAGTGGCGGACAAAATTATACAGAGTCATCTTAGATGGTTTGGTCACATTAAACGTCGATTATCTGATGATCCGATTAGGATAGTAGATGTTTTAGATTCAACCTATATTAAGAAAGTCAGAGGTAAAACTAGAAAGAATTGAACATGTTATATAAAAAATGATCATAATTTATTAGAATTAAATGAAAATATGACACTCAATAGGACGCGATGGAGGAAAATGATTCATGTAGCCGACCCCACTTAGGGGGATAAAGGCTTGTTGTTGGCATCCTAAACATAGGTGGCGTAAGCAAGTCTCTCTACTTTACGTAAATTATTTGATTACTCCTTATCTAAATCATTATCATATTTATTTTGATAATAAAAATACTAAAGGAGTTCTTTGGTTGCCATGTATTTGGAGAATATAGAATAAAATATGTATGGTGTATTCTAATTTCTCATAGTCAACCTTGTGGTAGTAAAATAAATATGGTGAAACTAATTCTATTTCATTAGCTAATCTCTTTATATCCATCTCAAAATATCTCACTTCATTCACCAATTTCATTCGCTTACATGCTTATTTTTTTTGTAATGCTTTACCACGTCAACCTGTAAGGTCCAGTCCTATTTATATCAATCTCTAAGGCCATGTTCTTGAAGCAATTCTTCCTAAATTTCTCAAAGTTTGTCTTAAGGAATATGTTCCATCCCTAGCTGCAGCCATCCAAATCCTTGCTATTGTACTCCTAGGGCGCTCAATGTGCTCACTTTGACCCAATCTGTTGCAATGTGTGGCTTGAGCCTTAAGTGCCAATACACTCTCTTCTATAGTGAGCTCTTCCTTGTGATTGGCGAACTCAAGTGAGTCTTTTCTTGTTTGGTGAACTAGATTTTATCACTATTGTTAGTCGAGATGATGGATTATGTTTCCATGAAGTGGTTTCCATTCCAATAAAGGTAGAGTACAGAAGCAAGGAAAAAAAAATGTTCAATTTAGGCAAGTTTCACTTTCAGCGAGAAGTGTTGTTTTGGTATTTTAAGAAAATGGAAATTTATTTTGCCTCATGCCTAAAACTTGAAATGCAAAACCTATGCATTTCTTTTTTTGTTACCGAACAACTCTTAGCAGAATATGACTTTGGAATTATTTCCCTTGATTTTGTCGGCAGAGTTTTGGAGATTTATCTATATTTACTTATTTTTATCTTTGATTGTCCGCTCGTCTCTTAAAGATTTGTTTTGAATTTTGTGTATATTTTCTTCATGCATGGCTTAATTTGTGGAGTTAGTATTTGGCTCATGCAAACTCCTTGAATATATGGCCACAAGTTTTACTTACGTGACTGTAATTGTTGAGTTGGTTTTTGACTTCTTCAATATTTAAATAACCTAAACTTTTTGACTGATTTGGGTCATATCTCATTTTATTAATTAAGAGGAATTTAGCTTTAATTAAGGTCCCATTTTGATTCCATGTTGATATTTTAAGCTCTATATAACCTATTGAGTTTGATTTGACATGGTTAAACCTCATTTTTGTTTTGTTTCTTAATTTATTCCCACTTGGGTTGAAATTAAATTCTGAGAGGTGGCTCTTTCATGAATCATGAATTTTGTTCATTCTGTCTCCTGTGGTGATCCTGGGTAAAAGAATTTGTCAAAAGCTCTGTAATTCTTTTGTTTCTTCCATTTTCTGTAGTTGGTTTCTGTTGTATCATTTGCATTCATCTCTTAGTACTTGACAGATCACCCTGTACATTCAAAACGTCAAATTCTGTGTCAATGAAACGTTTTGTCAATTAGTACTTTATAAAATATGCAATAGACTTGAGGATCTGATATAATACTGATTTGAGTAATCAACTGACAAATATAAATTTCCTGCATGCTAACTAAATTTTGGCACGCCTTTTTTCATGGTTGACTTGAAGTAATACTTAGGTAATTTTCTTATTGATTTAATCGCCCTTTGCTGTGTAACTTATATGTTTGAATTGTTATCATGAAGAAATACCCTTATAAGTTGCTTTCCAGTTGCCAACACTGCCAGATATAATATTTTGTCCCTGTATCTCATCGTATTTTTTCAGTGCTTGAATTGTTAAATAGCTAAAAAAATTAATTTCTTTTGATTTAAGTAGTGTATATTTTGGTCAATTTTTCTTGGTTTTTTGCCGTTGATGTCTATTTAGCATTCTGGCCTGTAGACTATCTAGCTTTGCATCTTTTTTTTCTTCTGTATTCAGGTGAGATTATGCAGGGAGAAGAGTACTGGTAATGTATATGCAATGAAGAAATTGAAAAAATCTGAGATGCTTAGAAGAGGACAGGTATCTTCAACATCTTTTGCTTCATTGCTTTCCGTGAAAGCAGCTGAACTTTATGCATCTGTTTTGTAGGTAGAGCATGTTAAAGCTGAAAGGAATCTTCTTGCAGAGGTTGATAGTGCCTGTATTGTTAAACTCTATTGTTCTTTCCAAGATGATGAGTATTTGTATCTTATAATGGAGTATCTTCCTGGAGGTGACATGATGACTTTACTGATGCGCAAGGACACCTTAACAGAAGATGAGGCCAGGTTCTATGTTGCGGAGACTGTATTGGCCATTGAATCTATACATAAACACAATTACATACATAGGTACTAATGTTTCAGAAATTGTTATTCTCCCCCCACTACTTCATTCAAGTGTAATCACACAGAATATGGTCTGTTTATTTTCAACAGGGATATTAAACCAGATAACTTATTGTTAGATCGAAATGGCCATATGAAGCTGTCAGATTTTGGTTTGTGCAAACCTTTGGATAGTAGTAGCTTTCCAAACCTGACCGAGCCTGATCATGGAGTGGGTACCAAGGCTCCATTAGATGGTCATAAGCATTTGAGCACATCTACTGCACCAAAGCGTACACAACAGGAGCAGTTATTACATTGGCAAAAGAATAGACGGATGCTGGTAATATGTCTGCATTGCCATGCAAATCATGATCTTCAAATTTAGGTTTCTTGCCTTTGCATCTTTTCATCACTTACTTTGGACTCGGATGCTAGTTGGGTTTGGTCTCAACAATTTGCTAAAGCACAATAAAAAATAAAAAATAAAAAATAAAAAAAAGAAAGTCAACTAAAAATTTCCCTTAAAAATTCTGCATTGTGCCTAATGTTTCATTAAAATGTAGTTTGTCTAGCCTTTTTGAGAGAATTGCCACTACGTTTTTTTTGCTTTTAATTTTGGTTAAATACTATGTTCCACCGCTTGTCTTTGTTCTGTTTCTTATGTTTATTGCCTGTTCCGAGTTTCAAACTTTTGAAATAGAAATGGGCAAAGTATATTCATGAATTGCTAATGTTCACTATTCTCCCTTTTTGTTCAAAGAATATATCGGATTGTTGATTGGCATTCTTACTTACATTTCCTTATATGGAAGCAGGCCTATTCAACTGTGGGAACACCTGATTACATTGCACCTGAAGTTCTGCTGAAAAAAGGATATGGCATGGAGTGTGATTGGTCGGTTCTTAATTTTCTCATATAGCTATCTTTTTCTCATGATTCTTCTTTCTTTTCCTTTCCTTCGGTTTGTCTGATTGTGAACTTATATTAATCAGGTGGTCTCTTGGTGCAATTATGTATGAAATGCTTGTTGGTTACCCACCATTTTACTCCGAAGACCCAATGTCTACCTGCAGGAAGGTAATCATGCAATTTAAGTAGGAATATAGGCAAATCGATTAATTCTATCAGTTGAATTTCTTGAAACTTAAGATTTCTAGCAAATTATTTATGGCGACAATAAGTTTTGTGCCCTTTTTGGCTTTTTAACTTACCAATGTGTGTTTTAGCATGTTGACTTCTATTTTTGATTTTCTGGCTTATGATATAATAGAAGTCCTATTCATGAAGTATGAAATTGAGAAATAGTTTTTAGGGCTTATTTTTTTCAGTTAAAATTTGAAAATAGCCCTTTATGTTTAGTTCCTCACTGCTATCTCATCCTTAGTTGCTTCACCACGATATGGTTTTGCATTGTTTCTTGATTAATACTGAATGACTGAAGATTAGTCTGTAGTTGCAGTGAAGCTTATCCCTAGAATTGATATTTTATAGATTGAATAAGTAGAGGCCTGTAAATGGTGTAGGTTTTGACAAAATGTGGCATGAATATCAACCTAATTGTAACTTATATCAGATTAGCTCATCCCTAGCTGATTAACGAGCGACCTAACATTACGATCACATAATCATTTGGTGTATTAAAACTATATGCGGTTTGATTTGACCAAATTTGAACCTAAGCTGCTAATTGGCTGCAAATAGAATTCAACTCAAGCAGGATTTAATAAATCCTGTAAATCCAGTTTTTATAACTCTTATGAAGGTTAAATTATGAAAGATTGTTTGTAATGATACCTTTTAAATTAAATTAAATCCAAGTAAACTATTTGGCTACTCATTTTAAGATTGAAGGATTTATATGATTGTGATATCTTATTATATTTATGTGGACCATTAAAGCCCTTAATTAAAATAATTAAGTCATAATTAATTTTATTATTAATATTTATTAATTACTATTTAGTAATTTACTAAGCAGATTAAGCAATAATTTCTATCTCGACCAATTTTGCTAGACATAATTTTAATTTACTTAAGCTAATTTATTTTTAATTAATTCATATTAATTATTAAGGATTATTTAATTTTTCTAATTTTAATATCTATATATAATTTACTTGATTAAATATTACTAATCCTATTTAATAAATTTGCTATTAATTCCAATTACAGAATTTGAATTACAAATAATATTAGCTAATATTGTAGTTATTAATTAATAATTAATAGGGACCTTTATTTACGTGCCTCCCAATTCCTATGTATTCACATATCAGACACCTAAACTTCCATTTTTACGTACAGGCCAACCATCTCTAACTTTTGGCCATAAGGAGGGTGACTTGTACGTAAAAATTGAAGTATAGGTGTCTGATATGTGAATACATAAGAATTGGGTGGCACGAAAGTAAATTTCCCTAAATTATAAAGTTAGTTAAACACAAAAATTTTTACCTTTTCATATTAAATCATAAATAATATTAAGTGTTTGAATTAATATTTTTGTTAGTTAATTAATATTAATTATTAAGATTAATATAACATTTAATTAACATCAACTAAATCAAACATAAATTCTTATTTTTCTTCCCCAACTCATCCTGAAAACTCCCAAAGTCCTCGACAACAAAGTGAAAACTATTAATTGCCTTTTTCTAACATTTTGGGTTTCAAATGGATTTATTAGTCTGAATTGTTAACTACCAAGCTCTATAGGTTTATAGGGTTTACTTATGGTTTGGCGCAGTGCATCTCTCGCAATTGTGTTGGACGAGACAACATAGGGTTGCCTGGATCGGTGGATACTTAAACCGGCTTGGCCATGGGAAAGGAGAGGTCGATCGACCCTCCTGGAGGTTTAGGGTTTCCTCCCAAGAGGAGTGGGGCCCCCTCTTTTTACCTGGTACTATATATGTAATTTCTTGGTGTTAAGGGTGAGTTTATGTCGTGTTTTATGTTAAGACAACCATTACGTCCCTTGTTTTTGCTTCTAGTGCTGTAGTATCCAAAGGCAAGTGGTGTTCCGGTTGTATCTCATTTCGAGGTGGTGATAGGTTTGAGTGGTGCTCTGGCTGTACCTCCAGAGGGGGTATTTCTTTTGACTTCCTATCCTCCCCATCCTTCCCTCTACAATCGTCATCAATGTAACTATTGCAGCTATTCCAAGGACTACACCTTTGTTGTTCTTGTAGCCACCTCAGCCTCCCCTACCCCATTTTCTTACTTGCAGTTTCTTGTAGCAGCTTACCATCAAGCTGCATCTTGTTTGAGGCCAACCCTTCCAGTCGTTGTTTGGCCTGCAACACCCCTTTCCGGACACTTGGCGCCAGTCAACTGTTTTTCATGTTGTTCCCTTGCCTTCTGGCATCCCCTCCTTATTGTTCCCCTTCTGTCAACCATCCCTTCCTTCTATTCGCCTGCCGCCAGTTTTTCGCTTCCTTGTTGCAGCCCAGTTACCAATCACCTCACCTCCCTTTCTGCCATATCCTCATTCTAGCCCTCCATTTTCCCAACCGCAACCACCCTACTACAACCTTCCCACCATCCTCGACTTAAGCCCTAGTTTGGCGTTTGTATTGTGTCTTTTGCTATTTCCTATTTTTATGGGGTTTTGGTAACCCCTATTTGATTTCAGTAATAAACTTGCATTTCCCGTTGTTATTTGGGTTCATTCTGGTATTATTTGGTGTCAGAGCTAGGTTAACCCTAGTCATATCCTATAATTTCTAACACCTGCCTATACTCAACCCTATCTCCACCCAAAATTTTTCTTACCCATGCTACTTTAGCCCCACATTTCCTTCCACCTACTCACACTTAAAGCCTAATCATGCCGTGGAGGAGGGAATGTCCGAAACTTGATCAGGGGTTTATCATGGATGGGATACAACAAGAATTTCGCCGAGTGCTATAACTTGCTAAACTACAGCTATCGACTTAGGGAGAGGTCAACGTCGAGCATGGAGGATGGTAACGAGAGCCAATGAGGAGAGAGAGGATCACCCGAATCTCTTCCATAAGGATGCTTCTAGTGGAGAAGAAGGTAGGCTACGATGCTTGGGGATACAAGAGCGGAGAAAATTGAGAGATTAAGTGCCTATTAGAGGATGCATAGATGAAGTGCCTATTAGGGGATGCGGAGATAAAGTGCTCATGAGGGGATCCATAGATTAAGTGTTTGTTAAGGGATACATAGATGAAGTGCCTGTTAGAGGTTACAATGATGTAGTTGTCGGCCGTTTTTTTTCTTTTAAGTTCGTGGTTTGAAAAAGTGAATGATTTTGTGATTTTGAAAATAATTTAAATATAAGTATAACCTTTTTTGATTTTTTTTAATGTAATATTTTAATTTTAAAATAGGTGAGACCAAACGGGTCTCACATTTAAATAGTTTAGATGATTGAATGCCAATACTACAAGTAATACACTTATCCCGAAGAATAAATATATCATTTGTAATAGGGATTCAATCATCTAGACTAAGGAATTTGTGACATCCATATTGGTCTGCGAAATATTTTTTAAAAAAGCCAACAAGTTCCCCTATCTAACATAAAAAATTAGATAGGGTTTATTTTATCTGGGTTCCTGGTTCCCTATAGAGGCAAACCCCTATAGTTAATTACATCTTAAATGATCGAAATCACTTAAGAAAACTCTCGATTAAGGTCAGGTGATTTTGCTTTCAAGATTTTAAAGTTTAGGTTTTCACGATTGGACATAGGAAAATCAAATAGGAATGACTCAAAATAGGAACAATTATTTAAGAAATCCAAAGGGAAGAAAAGTAAGGGATATCACAGATCTGGGGAAAACCCCGGTGAACTCCCAACTATCCTAATGTTCGGTTTTATGTCTTTGAAGTGATGTTTATTTGATATTTCAATCCTGCAGATTATTTAAGATTTAGAATTTATATTTACACAATATCGAACTGTGCAAATAACCTAAAAAGATAGGAGAATTTATACCGTACCACACGGTAACCTCGGAATCCTAAAGCGTTAGGACTTATAATCGTTAGGACTTATAATTGTACAAATAGGACTTATAATTGTACAAAAGAGTTGTACAGAAAGCCTAAAGAGTGATCCTATGAGTTGTTATTTAAACTAGGGAGACTGATAGGTGATGTGAATGTGTTTATGTGATGTGAACATGTTTTGCTGTTGCAGATCCACCTTGAAGTTGTTCTTCGTCGTGCTGCCCACGATGTTCGTTCCAAGCTTCTCGTAGTAGCACCTCCTGGTTCAGTTTTTAGTTTTGAACATACTCCTAATCACTAAATTATTCTATACTAAGACATAGCATATCAAAATAACTAAGCATGCAGTGTGAAAGAAAAGTAACAATGTACTGTACAGTAAAAAGAAAAGACAGTATAATATGCTGAAAAAAGAGTATAACGTGCTATAAAGAGTAGTATAACATGCTTGGGAAGCAGTGTAACAGGCTATGAAAACAATATAACATGCTTTAAAATAAAATGTTGTAATATAAATTAAATCTGTACACCTGAGAGGTTCATTGCTCCTTTAAATTTAGCTAATATGCGCTGTGTAAAAGAGAAAAATACGACCTGAAAAAGACTTAACAGAAACAGGTAAATCGTGGGAAAAAGACAAACAAATAAAATGAAATACAATATCACATATAAAGGACCAAAAATAAAAAATTTACATGTGATATTGGAATGTCCCCAATTGTCAGAAGGATTTGAGTGTAGGACAAACTCAAATTCCGGAGCATTGGGTTTCAGTTTTGGTCAAGTTAAGGTAAGAATTTCATTATTTGATTTAATTAAATCAGTCATGAGTCACAATCTAGTGCACCCTCGTGCCTAGTGTCCTATTTATTTCCTAAACTGAGGTTAGATGTTTGGATTACGTAGGTCATTTGAAAATTAGGATGATAAACTATCTCTTAAGTCGTGCTCTAAGTTGTGCTTCTAAAATTTAGGATGCCTGCACTTTAAGTTAACTTGAAGTGTCCTAAAGTGTCTAATCTCAATTAAGTGTCTTTCCACTAACCCTTAAACATCTATAGAGCCAGCTTAGCTCGCTATCAGACTCCTAAAA